AGATAGCCTGCCCGATTTTGTATAAAAATGGGTCTACATGTATTTTTCTAGTGTTTACATAAAGAAACTCTGGGAGATTCCAAAACCACCAATAGTTACCGTGCATTGCAGGGTGATTCTGAGCAGAAGGGGCGTGGGGCAAATTTGTACCCCATAGTATGTTATATTATTATCTTTTTGATTTGGGGGGCCACGGGCATGCATTACTTATCGATAAAGTCAAATTAAATTAAACGTACATTAGCATATTCTATACCAAACCTACAACCACAACAACACAAAGAACCTGGCTTCAAGTGTCGGCCGCAGTCCACACAGGCTTTGTGACCTGGAAGGGGCCAAGCGCGTCTCTGGGCTTCAGTTTCTTTTTAAACAGAATGAGAGTCATAGTGGCCACTTGCCGGAGTTGCCGGAGAGTCAGATGCTGTGAGACGTGTGTGACCACATCAGGCTCGCCTGCCTATGACTGATTTTAGTCGGTGACTTTTTCCCCTGCCCTAGTTTTAACTCCTGCTGAGGTCAGGCCTGCAGAAGCTCTGGAAGAAACACCAAGCGAAAACACATCAAAGTTTCTACGGCGAGGTTTACGTCCATTTAATTTGGCCATAAGCTATTATGACTCATCCTGCGTCTTATGCAACCTGCCGGAAGCACCTCCTTTGTCACTGCTCCCGCTTGCCAGATGCTGAAAGCGCTAAGAGCAGCGGGCGGGGTACACAGCTCCCGCTGAGCCCTGCAGGCTGCCGCCCAGCCCAGCTGCCCCTGGTGGGCAGATGGCAGTTAGCCGGGGTGAGGATGTGGGGAGGGGGATAGGAGGATGGCACCCCCACCCGCCCCTGGCTGAGGGCTCCTGCTCCCCCAGGCCCCGGCCCTGACTGCTTCCTTACATCTCCCACTGTAATCCCCAGAAAAACACTCTGGCATGTGGGTGTCATTATGGTCCCGGACGAGGAAACTGAGGCCCAGAGAGGCTAAGTAGGCTTGCCAAGGTCACACAGCTGGGGAGTGAAGCCTGCTGGACTCGCACCCCAGAGGCTGAGCCCAGAGGTTGGTGCTGCAGAGCAGGAAATCAGCATTTCTGCAGAGCGTGGCTGATCCTGAAAGGCTGTTGTTTGCGGTGCGTGTAACTGAGGCTTTGGCCTTAGTTCAGGCTGTTTATGGAGGGCCTTTGGCAGATGGGCCTGGGCCAGGCACTGGGCACAGACTGATGGAGGACCAGGCCTGTGTTGGGTAAGTGAGATGCAGGAGGAGGCAGGGCTGGCTCTGCAGGGAGAGGGGGACTCCACGATGCCCAGTCGGGGCCATCCCAGAGGCCACCAGCCGGTTCATTCTGCAATCTCAGTGTGCGGCCACCCTGACGTTTATCCCTCTGAGCTGCTTGGGGGGGAATTGGCACAGGGACAGGTGGCATTGGGGATCCCCTCAGAGCAGACTGGAGACAAAGGTTTGGAGGTGGGCGGAGTATTGGGGAGGTGATCCCAGGAAGCACGGAGGGCATGGGGAAATGGAACAAGGAAGAAAAAGAAGCCACGAAGGGCAGGCGAGTGAGTGAGCCACTCCTGTGGGCAGCCCGGGGCCACTCTCGCTGGAGACCCTCAGGGTTTGTGAGGACAATGTGGAACCCTGAAAACCATGGCCAGGGCCCAGGAGGCTGGGCCGCTCATCCATCAGTGTCACACCTGTTTGGATTGAGGGCTGCCCCCTGAGCCATTAGCTCCACGCATTTGGGCCCTGGCACCATGAAGGCCATCTGCGCACGGCCTTCAGCCTGGGCAGCAACTGTGGGTTCAGCAAAGGGACGGTGACGTCCTGGGTGAGCCAAAGAGAGGGGCTGGAAACAGCAGCATCTGCTACAGGTGGTCACTTCTCACTTGGACTTATTCCTTCAAGTTCCTGTACTTTAGNTTTTTTTTTTTTTTTTTTTTTTTTTTGGACTCTTTTGCTGTTAGTGCTTCTCGTCCACTAACATAGTGGTCACCCCTTGCCAAATGTCCTCTTCTCTCCTGCCCTCGCGTTATTTCTCAAGTACCCGTTTGCAGGGCTCACAGTGCAGGTTCGAGTGCTTCCCAGGTGCCCCTTCTCTGCCCGGTGCCCACCTGCCCCTGTTGGGCCACTCCCCCAAAGGCGCTGTAAGATGGTGCCGGTGGTGGCATGCCACTCTTCCTGTGGGTCTGAAGCCTGCTTCCCTGTCACCCCCCCACCCAGTGTGACCCGCTGATCTGTGGTCTCCACTCCTCAGCCCCTAGCAGGCTTCCTGTCATTTCACCTGATGACTGTGCTTCCGACGACTGTCAGCCTTCCCCCTGTTTTCTCGTTCCTCTTCGCTCTCTCCCACCTGCCCTGCCCCTTTACTGCTCACTCTTGTATGCGTTTCTCACTCGATACTCATCGCCAACCAGCCCCGGGACAGGCACTGCGCCAGGCTCTGACGCACACATCGAAGAATGGCCAACCCCTAACTTCACGAGACTCAGTTCAGTGAGGGGGTGAGGCGGATGAGCCAGAGGCAGAAAGAGGGGAACGGCGTTCAGGCCTGAGCGACATACTCAGCTCAAGTTCCACCTGTGTTTGGAAAACCAAAGTGGGTTTGGATTATCCTCACAAGGATGAGTTACAAAGGCAGTGTCATCTGTAGGGAGGGCTACAGCTTGTGTTTTCCGGGGGCAGGAGGTGAGGGGGTCAGGCTGGGGAATCGTTTATGTCATGGTGCTTTGGTTTTATGACATGGTTGTACTGAATCAAATGTTATTTCAATACCCTTTACACTGTGACTCATTTAGCTCATTGTGTAGCACACATGGACTCCTTTCCACATGGGGACATGTGCCTCTTTCTTAAAATAACTAATACTGCCATAGTGCGGATGCTGTAATCCAGTTAACAGTGCCCACTGTGGGCTTATGTTGTGTGTCTATGCATTTATTTGTTTTTAAGTGGGACACTCCAGGCTTACACAAAAATAAGAGGGTATGATAAAAGGAGCCCCCTTTGCACCCCTCACCCAGCTGCAGTATCTTCCAGCTATCACAGCCACTCTTGTTTTTATCTATATCCTCAGCCACTCCCCACCCTTTCGTCCTCCACATTATTTTGAAGCAAACCATTTTCAGGATAGATTTGTTTTTGTAAATGTTGTCAGATACATTCTCAACCTATTAAAGCTCTGGCAATAGATTAAAAAAGAGGTCTTTTTGTTGTGAGCGTCTTCATCCAAAATTGTTACTGGAGTTAGAAAGTAGATCCTGGGTGGTGGTCTGAAATTTGGTGGTTGCGCAAAGTGAAAAGGTTTTTATGAGCCACTGTAAGGAATCGCCTCTCGTGTTTTCCTAGGGTCATCCCGGAGTTCCAGGTTTCATGGGACCCCCAGGGAACCCTGGGCCACCGGTAAGTAGGAATCTGTAACCCCCTCCTTTTTTGGCCTTGACGTTTGAACACACTCCCATCCTCACTGGAGATGATACCATACTAGTCAGACCTCTTATTTTAAGGCATGAAAGCCCTAGGCGGGGAGGCGGGGGTGCACAATACAGGCTCCAGAAGCATCTGGGGAGCATTCAGACAGACCCGAGTAACACTGATGGACAGTGGAATTACAGTGCTGTGGGCATTGCCAGGGAGGGGCAGGCGCCATCTATTATTATTAGTTTAAAGTCCAGCCTGGGAGGTGGGAAGCCTGGGACAATTTCGTGGTCAGGATCCTGAGTTAGGAATGTGGAAACCGCCTGCCCTGTTCCACGGTGAGAAGCGCTGGGAATCATGGAAGTCCATATCAGCCCAGACTTCCCTGGATTTATTGCAATCAATAACAGTAATAGCGACTACAGATTATTGTCATTCATTACTACTATTTCCAACTGTTCTTCCATGATTAGTCCAAGGCGCGTGGTATTGTTTTGACTGTAACAATACTATTAATATCACCCCATTGGTTCCCTGCTCTGGCAGCAGCTGTGGCTCTGACACTGCCTGATACCTGCCTTGCACATGTGTCTCCCTTTGGTCCAGCCAGCCCGTGAATGAGTCTTGTTGCTCTTCCACTCGGAGTCCACTGTGGTGGTTACCCGTGGTAGCCGCGGTAACCAGGAGTGGGATGTACTCTCCTCACCAAGCCCAGACCCAGTCTCGTGGGATTTCCCACGTGCTCCCCCAGACCTTTCCCAAAGCAGGCGGCTGGTGATGGCTAAAGGACCACTGACAGGGCACCCACTTCCAATATGGGTTAACCTGTCAAAGTAAGTAGTGAAAAAGGGGACGTGAGTTAAAGTGTGTGCTATTAAGCTTGCCTTGTCTTCTTCTTAGCAACTTCTGCCTGTTAATCCTTAAAGTAGATCAAGTTGTTTAAAATGTGCTTTTCAATAAAACCATGTGAGAGCCTGAAGCGGTCTCTCTCACTTCATGACTGACTTTTATGGGAAACTCATAAAAGGTAAATTATCTACACAAGTAGTAAAGCTCTCCCGCTGTCCCGGAGGGCCGACCTTCAGTACTTGATACTCGGCTCACTTCCTGTCCCTACAAGTGCCTTTGCTGCTCGCATCCTTTTCAGTTTCCCAGCCTGGATCCCTAACTGTCCGCATGCTGCCCTGTGCACGTGTGTGAATGGCCTCGCAGGAGACCAATCAGCTTGCTACCGTTTAACTTCGTGATATTCTGCATTTGTTTCAAAATGTATAATTTAACTTAGGAAACGGATTTGCATTGTATTTACAAATGTTTCTGGATTTTGTGGCATCTGACAGTCAGCAAAAAGGAAAACATCGAGGTGGCAATAGAATGGGTAGAGGGGAAAGGCATTAGCATTAAGTGAGGAGGGGCGCTTAGGAGGGACCTAATTTTATTTAAAAACAGTTCATGCATGAATACTTTCATATCACGATGGCTTTAGTGTCCCTGTGAAGCCTCAGAGCTGAAGGACTCTGGCAGGGGTGTCAGGTTGAAGCCACATCCCCACCCTGTAGTTCCAAAGCAGGACATCTCCACTGGGAACGAAACCCTGTTCCCTCCTCCTTGGAAACTGCTGTAACTTAGAACGCCCTGACAACTCTGCGTAGGAAATGGCTCCTGGCTTTTTATTCTCGTGCTAGCTGATGAATCTGAGATTGAGGAACACCGTCCTCAGAGGCCAGCTTGTCCGTCCCCAGCTGATTGACGCTTTCCATTTACTCGGCGGGTGTCCATTGAGCATCTACTTTGTGTCCTGCCTTCTATGGCTGATTGTCTTCGGGACTAGACATTGAGTCAGCTGCCCATTCACATTCACAGTCAGTCATGCAAAAGCAACTCAAGGGCAGGACACTAACCCGTGAGGTCCCCTATGCATTGCTTTTTTGAGTGCTTATTGGATGGCAGGCCCTGTCCAAGGTACCGAGGGATATATGCAGATACCACGTGGACAAGGCTTCTTTCACAGTTTATTTTTTGGTGCTCAGTCAGCATCCTTTTTTTTTTTTCCCAGATAGAACCTTTACCCTGTTCTCAACCTGCAGTAGGGAATTTAATTTCAGCTTCACTAGATTCCAGTGTCTAGGATGCCAGAAGCTATTAGCCAGTTTATGTAGAAGAATCCAGATCGGGAGAAAAAAAACTCCATTGTTCTGTTAGGTTTGGACGAGACATGTGATTTTCCCCCTTAGCATCCCAGGTGCAGGGAGGTGTAAAACTTAGCCTATTTGTTTAAATATTATCATCCCTTTATTTCATGAACATTTACTGGGTCTTTACCTAATGAAAGAGGTGAGGGTGAATCACCTTGTCCCAGGCCATTTCTGTACCCCTAGAACTTTTCCTGCACCCAGTACAACCTCGGCCCCCAATAAATGTATATAAAAACAACTGAATAAGACTGCTGGGAGAGTATCAATAATGTACACTGAGCATTTGTTTGTTTGTTACCCCTTTTTTAGTTATTACCTGCAGTGTTCCTGGTCTTGGGCTGGCCAGTAGACACACACCGTCGTCAGTACCTATGGTAATGAGAGCCCTTAGTAGGTGCCTGGTGCTGGCTAACTATTATTAACTTACTCAATTGTCTCAATGATTCAAGTGGCACAGGTGGCATCTTTTTCTGCATTTTACAAAGAACTGAGATGCAGAGGAATAGGATAAGTTGCCGAAGACCACATAGGTGGTTGCTGGAGAACCAGGACATGGGCCCAGGAACCCTGGCTCTGAGAGGGGGCACACTGAACCAGAGCCTCTGTTCTGTGCCAGGCACACCACAAGCCCAGCCAAAGCCAGTAAGAAGTGCTGGCTTCTTCACAAGTCTAAAGAACCTCTCTGTCATGCAGCCAGCCCAGCTCCTAAACCCTCATTTTTTTCAAGAAATATTTCCAACCCACTATCTCCAAGACGTTTTTAGTTCCCAGTAAGCCAGTGTGTCGGTAAGCGCTAAGATGTCACTGGTGGCAAAGGCTACAGGGAAAATGAAAGCAGAGAAGGGGTGTGAGCGGGCAGAGACTTGCCATTTTGGAGATCTGGTGAGGAGGCCAGTGTTGAGCTGAGAAGCTGATACTTGAGGGAAGCTGTAGGGCGGGGCATGAACTCTGACCCATGGGATTTGAGTGTGGGCAGAAGGAACGGCACGTGCAAGGGCCCTGAGGCAGACACGTGGCTGGGATCACTGTGCACATGTACCTACCTGTGGAGAACCTCTCTTCCATTTATCCGTCTATGCCTCTCTCCATCCCTGAGTTGACATGTGCAATGAATTCTTCCTTATCTCCCCGGGAGATAAATCCAACCTTTCATTTCTTGCCTTCTATCCTGAAATGTTCCCTGATGTTAGCGGAAAATGTCCCCTCTGAAGGGAGACCGTGTACTATTGCCTTAGGGCTGCCTGGCTGGTGAACACTTTGGCCCTTCCTAAAACGTGGCTGCTGTCCTCTCAACATCTTTGTGTTTCCAGACTAGCCCAGTGTGATACGGCAGGCAGACGCACCTTTGAAATATTCATGGTTCAGGCCCCTGGGAAGCGGCCCGGGATGTCAGACCTGAGCATTGCTTGCTGCACAAAGAGGACGTGCCGGCGATCTCTGTTCAGGTGCACAACACACTGGCTCTGTGCTTTCTCATCCTTAGGGAGCAGATGGAGTTGCAGGAGCTGCTGGGCCACCAGGAATCCAGGGACCACCGGTAGGTCCCTCACCGGACAGGACGTGCCTTCAGTCTGTGTTTGGCCTTCCCAGAAGCCTACGTGTGCCCACCTCACACATCCTGGGGGTCTGTTTACTGCCCGTTGGCCACGGGAGGAGTCACTTTCTATTAGGGCCCAGTTACCTCACCTCTCAGATAAAGGTGCAGGTGAAAAGAGCTGCCAACCTGTGATTCCCGAATTCCGTTTACAGCCAACTCAAACAGGTCCAAGGTTTAGCCCTATCTCTCTGTTCCTTTTCAGTGTGGTTTCTGTCTGAACAGGCACAGGGGTGCGGAAAGGCTTGCTGCTGACCCATCCTGAGCCCGCGGCACGCACCGGGCAGCATACTGAGTAGGAGGTAGCTGCTGCTATCCAGTGGTTCAGAAAGCAGAGTGTAGTTAAGGAGGGGACGTCGTTAGCCAAGGTCTTCAAACCACAGCTGGTGGAGCTGGCGTTTGAATCCAAGCCATGTAGCTCCAAAAACATAACAGCGTTCATTGCCTGTGGCTGCCAGAGGCTCTGTCGGTTTCAGTACCATAAGGTAGGGGGAGCCTCTGTGTACAGGCATTGTGCTCGTATCTGCTCCGTGCGTTCACTTAGGGACTACACCGTGAATTGACACCCCTGTCTCACCTGACTGCCTTATACGTTAGAAAGGCCCTGACGCGTTCCCTCCATTTCCTTCCAGAAAAGCCACTCAGAGGGATTTAATGGTGTTTTTATGTCTTGGGTCTTTTAGGGGAAAGAAGGTCCGGCCGGCGCCGAAGGCCCCCCTGGATTACCGGGAACCCCAGTAAGTGGCATTTAATAACAACCTCATATCTCCACTACGCAAATAACCAAACAGAAATACATTTCACCACTGCTAAAGCAAGACGTGGTCACTCGGGGAATTGGGTGTATTATGCAATATGAGAAGAAAAATAATCACCAAATCTAATTAAATTAGATTTTAATTAGAGCTCTATTTCATGGCCTTTCTGTAACCTGGACGTCATCCTTGCTGTCATTGTCGCAGCCCCTCGTGGGCTCCGGGAGCTATGCCAGGTGCTGCCCTGCGTGTTATTCAGTGTCCTCATCGTCTTTGTCAGCGCCGGCATCTGCCCTCCCCACCGCCGTGTTCAGTCCAGGGCCTGGACAGGAGGCCGTATCACCCCCAGTTAGACTTCATGAAAATGTCCAGGAGGGCTTTCTGTAGATCAATAGCAATAATATAGAAACTATTGTAATGTATTGCTTTTCCGCTATGAGCCAGACACTGCAGATCACACGTCCAAGCCAGAATCTTGGTTAGGGAAAAACCCGGAAATCAGACCAGCTCCGCCGGTTGAAGACTCCCTTAGCTGCGGCCTGTGAATGGAGCTGTGGCTACGAGCTGCCACCGCGTCTTGGCATCTTTGCCCAGATGACCGATTGGAGTTTCTCTTGCAGGGAGCAGAAGGCAAAGAGGGCAGAGACGGGAAGCCGGGTCCCCCTGGAGAGCCGGTAAGGGACCCTCGGTTCTTGCCACTTTTCAGGCCAAGTTAGTACTTTCTCAGTAACAGCGTCCATGTGACCGAGAGCTCCCCTGAACCGGGCACAATGACAAGTATTTTCGGTGCCCTGACGACCCTGCCAGGTAAAGGCTGCTGCCTCTGTCTTATAGCTGAGGACACCGAGTCACAGGGAGGTGAGATGATGGACACAGAGCAACATGGCGGGCGGTGACAGAGCCCTAACCCAAGCCCAGCTCCTGTCCTCCCTCTGCATTTTTTAACTGCCCCCGGAAGCACCAGTCCTATTGATGTGGGAGGGGAAACTGAGGCAGGTGAGCACTGGCCGGAATAGAAACCTGATATCTGAAAAGCCTGTTACACCCACGGAAACCCTGACCGGCCCCTGCGAGCTCCCGGTGTGTGTGTGTGTGTGTGTGTGTGTGTGTGTGTGTGTGTGTGTGACGTCATCTCTCCAGGGACATAGGGAGGCAGGCTGAACCTGCATAAGACGTGCCTGTGGCCCCAGGAGCTGCTGGTTGTGTGTACAGGGATTTCCAGACGTGTAGCTCTGACCTCAGAGCTGTGTTTCCTGAGGTTGGTGAGTCGGGGTTCCCTGATGATGATGGTTTCCAGTTCCTAGCAGCCCTTTTGTCCACAAATACCTCAATATTGAGGGGAAGGTGGAAAGAGGCACCTGGAGCTTAGAAACCTGGGTTCTCTCCAGGTGCCCCCCTGTGGGAGACCAGGTAATGACGAGAGTCCACCCAATAGACCCCAAGCAGCTGTGAGGACGAATAACAACATTGTCTAGATTCTGACATGGGACATCTCCAAGATGTGCTGTTAAGTTATAGCTCTCGGGCAGATAGCCTGCCCGATTTTGTATAAAAATGGGTCTACATGTATTTTTCTAGTGTTTACATAAAGAAACTCTGGGAGATTCCAAAACCACCAATAGTTACTGTGCATTGCAGGGTGATTCTGAGCAGAAGGGGCGTGGGGCAAATTTGTACCCCATAGTATGTTATATTATTATCTTTTTGATTTGGGGGGCCACGGGCATGCATTACTTATCGATAAAGTCAAATTAAA